AAGAGACAGACAGTGAAAAATCAACCCCAGGGGAGAGAGCCACACTGCAATCCCTTCTCTTCCATTCTCCCCTCAGGATTATTTGGGGCTTGCATGTATACCTGCCTGGTGTATTTTTCAAGCCACTGGTTCCAGGACTCAAATCGTTCAGTAGGCTATATGGGATCCAGTCACCTTAACCACCATGCCACTGGCTGGCCCCAAATGAAGAACACTTTGAATAAGGATATTGCACACACTAGCACATAGGCTCAATGAGGCAGAGACTGTGGCTGTTTTGTTTACTGCTGCATATTTACTACATGGTGGTCACTCTATCTGTATTCATTGGCTGGGTAAATGAGAGAATAAATTAATTAAGGAACAAACAACAGTGCTACGGGGAGCAAAATGGTCCATATACTTGTAAAATAAAAATGAATTCAAAATAATTGTCTATCATTAAGCTACCATGTGTTGTTAGATGAAAGTCAACATTGATTAGGCATCTATCATGTGCTGAGTCAGTCGTGTTAAGCCCTGTTAAGAGGAATATAAAGATTAATGAGGTTCAGCTCTGTCCTTTAAGAAATATGTTGAAAATGAAAAGGGGTGGGAGATGGTAATCAGAAAACTGATAAGAAGTGTGTGTGTGTGGGGGGGGGGTCGTTTATTTTTATTTTTTAGTTTTACCAGAGGGCATGTGCACTTGCTGGAGAAAGAAAGAGAAAGAAGAAAAGTAAGAAAGCAGCCACCCTCAGTGTGGCATTGTAACACCATGATCCCTTCTACATCTCTCTCTCCTTTCTGGATTTTGAGCATACACACACATGCACCCAGCATGGTTTTTAAACCTCAGAGTCTGGGACTCAAACTCCACACTTGACTATGTGGGATCCAGCTGCCTTAACCACTAGGCTACAAGGCTGATCTAATAAGTAGTTCTGAGTGCAAAGAGAAGGATACTTTTTTCAAATCTATAGCAGTTTTATAGGGTATTCTTGGGACATCTGAGGAGTTGGAGGACAGTTGCAAAGGAAGAAATCATTGAATTAACATGGTAAGTTGGATTTCCTTAAAGGCTGAAGATTTTTTTCCTTTTTAAAAGGTTTCCATTTTTTCTTTCATGAGAGAGAAAGAGAGAGAGATGCTCCCTCAACAGAGTCTCATGCTACAATCCTTCCCTCAGCCTCTCCCAGCCAATCAGTCAGAATGATGAGCACACATGTGCACCCAGCATATGCAGCTGAACTGGAAACTGAACTCCTGTTCCGCATATGAACTCCAGCATCAGAGTGTTGTGTCACACTGTAGGCTGACATGAGTTTTAACCTTACTAAGTTTAAAAAAAAAAGTTATTGAATAGCTTTCATGAGAAGTAATATCATCCAAATAAAAGTATAAGAAAACTCTAGCAATAGCAAATTGAATAAATTGGAGGACTGAAAAATATTAGAAGTACAGGAACCAGTAAGAATACCATAATAAGAGTCCAGGAAACGATGTTGAATGTCTGCAGTTGAGAAACTGAGATGAAAATAAGAAATGAGATTACAAGATACTGTAGAATTAGAGGAGTCAGGTGGTGAGTTATTGAAGATAATTCTAAAGTTTCTAATCCAAAGAGTTGTAAAAGTAGTGATAGCATTCAAAGAGTAGGGATTTCAGGGGAAGTTCTGTTTGCAGAGGGGATGATGATTTTTTTTGGTATCTTGGATATTAAGGCAGCTACATAGAGGTAGTCACTGAGTAATTGGTTAGTTCATTAGTTAATGTCCTTCCTGAAGAAAGGAAAGGTATAAACTGTGCAATGAGTATGGTGCTCAAGCTAGGACTCAATGCTAATAATGTGGCCAGGAGCCAGGATAACAATGAGCTAACTCAGGAATGGGGAAGATGCAGGGTGAAGTGAAGATACTGTATATTTAAGAAGTTCAAGGTGCCAAGGAGGGAAATCCAAACTCACATATGGAGGTTGTGGAAGACTTTATTTCCAACAAAGGACTGAGCACCTGGAATGGCACTCAGGCCATGATGCATGAACTTGCTGGAGAAAGAAAGAGAAAGAAGAAAAGTAAGAAAGCAGCCACCCTCAGTGTGGCATTGTAACACCATGATCCCTTCTACATCTCTCTCTCCTTTCTGGATTTTGAGCATACACACACATGCACCCAGCATGGTTTTTAAACCTCAGAGTCTGGGACTCAAACTCCACACTTGACTATGTGGGATCCAGCTGCCTTAACCACTAGGCTACAAGGCTGATCTAATAAGTAGTTCTGAGTGCAAAGAGAAGGATACTTTTTTCAAATCTATAGCAGTTTTATAGGGTATTCTTGGGACATCTGAGGAGTTGGAGGACAGTTGCAAAGGAAGAAATCATTGAATTAACATGGTAAGTTGGATTTCCTTAAAGGCTGAAGATTTTTTTCCTTTTTAAAAGGTTTCCATTTTTTCTTTCATGAGAGAGAAAGAGAGAGAGATGCTCCCTCAACAGAGTCTCATGCTACAATCCTTCCCTCAGCCTCTCCCAGCCAATCAGTCAGAATGATGAGCACACATGTGCACCCAGCATATGCAGCTGAACTGGAAACTGAACTCCTGTTCCGCATATGAACTCCAGCATCAGAGTGTTGTGTCACACTGTAGGCTGACATGAGTTTTAACCTTACTAAGTTTAAAAAAAAAAGTTATTGAATAGCTTTCATGAGAAGTAATATCATCCAAATAAAAGTATAAGAAAACTCTAGCAATAGCAAATTGAATAAATTGGAGGACTGAAAAATATTAGAAGTACAGGAACCAGTAAGAATACCATAATAAGAGTCCAGGAAACGATGTTGAATGTCTGCAGTTGAGAAACTGAGATGAAAATAAGAAATGAGATTACAAGATACTGTAGAATTAGAGGAGTCAGGTGGTGAGTTATTGAAGATAATTCTAAAGTTTCTAATCCAAAGAGTTGTAAAAGTAGTGATAGCATTCAAAGAGTAGGGATTTCAGGGGAAGTTCTGTTTGCAGAGGGGATGATGATTTTTTTTGGTATCTTGGATATTAAGGCAGCTACATAGAGGTAGTCACTGAGTAATTGGTTAGTTCATTAGTTAATGTCCTTCCTGAAGAAAGGAAAGGTATAAACTGTGCAATGAGTATGGTGCTCAAGCTAGGACTCAATGCTAATAATGTGGCCAGGAGCCAGGATAACAATGAGCTAACTCAGGAATGGGGAAGATGCAGGGTGAAGTGAAGATACTGTATATTTAAGAAGTTCAAGGTGCCAAGGAGGGAAATCCAAACTCACATATGGAGGTTGTGGAAGACTTTATTTCCAACAAAGGACTGAGCACCTGGAATGGCACTCAGGCCATGATGCATGATGAAGTAAAGATACTGAAAACAGAATCTTGAGAAATAGTCACATTTTCACGGCAATTGGAAATGACTGAGAAAGAACACATACTGTTAAAAACCACCAGAATGTGGTGTCAAAAAATGAAGGTGTTAGATATAGATAGTCATCCTGATCTTGACTGTGATAAAGATTCAAGACAAGGTTGAAATATGCTACCAGGAGTCAAGACTTCACCAAATGTCAAATGTCCTGGAAATTGCCCAAAATAAAGTCTAACACAAAAAATTTTCCTTCAAAGACAGCATTTATGGGAAAGAGATAAATAAACAAGGGGTGGGGTTTGTTACCTGGGATGAGGAGTTAGACTAAGGAGAGTGTTTAGCCCTCAGTTTACCATAAGGCAGAGGTGGAAAAGCGGGGTAGCCTCCACTAGAGTTGAAGAGAGACTTACGGAAGGCCAAGGCCAGTAAAGAAGGGAGAGGGCATGTTCAGACAAAAGGCTGAAGAAATGGTGGTGCCTGTTCACAGTAGACTAATTTACAGTGGAAAGACCACTGTTGGTGCAGGGCATAGTGGATACGGAGCAGAGATGGTATAGGCAACAGAAGGGATTCAACAGAAGGAGCATGGAGTGGGAGAGTGACAGAGCTCCCAAGAACAATCACATGGACCCAGGATGACACAGGTGGAAAGTGGAGTGACAGTATTGAAGGGAAGTGGGCCAGTCTTCCATTAGACTCTGACAACCCAGCCACCAGGTCCACACTTTCATAACCTGGGCTTCTAATGAGGCTGGACTCAGTCTGAGATGTGAGACTATTCAAAGTGCCATCTCAGGTACTCAGTCCCTTACTTAAGTGAAACTTCTACAGTCTCTGGTATGAAGTTGGTTTTCCCTCCTTGGTATGCTGAACTTCTCAAACATATAATTTCTCACTCCACTGAGAGGTTATTGGTGTGATTCTTACTCTCCTTAGTCAAAGTCTTCTATGGAAGCTAGAATCCTTGCTACCCATGACTCTCCCAGATGTGTACCACGCCTGGCTCCTGGCACCCACTTGACATTGCTTGCCATAATGCATAGGGGTTGCCACTGGAAGGCACACAATCTCCTTTCCTCTAGAGTTTCTCAGTCTGGTCCTGAAGACCACTCACATCATCAGAGTGTGGAAACACAGACCCTACCCAACTGGGAGAACCACTTGAGCAATGAGTTGTCAATTACCTAATGGACACTTCCAGTGGCCCTGGAGGTGAGTGATACAACAATGCCTGAGAGCAAAGCTTCAGATTCTGTGGTCACTGCTCAATCCCTGTTTCCTCCTCCCCATTCCAAGCAGATCTCTGTCATAATAGCTTCAAGGGCGCTCTCTCTCTCTCTCTCTCTCATATCTGCGAGGTATCCCTACTATTGGGCATGCTTCTCCCTTTGCCTCAAGCTGCCACTCACTGTACCCTCTTGTAGCCAACATAGGCCTTGCTCAATCTGGGACTAAGAAAACTGTCATGAGAGACCTTAGAGATGAACTGTTTCAAACTCTGCATTTTGCAAATAAGAAACTGACACCCTAGGAGAAAATTGCCTAAGATCACACAGCCAGGGTTAGTCTCCCCCGGTCATGTTCTGTTTTACCACTTTATCTCTCTGCCATGTGCAGCCGGATCCTACCTGCCAAGTCCTTTGATGCCAGCAGAACCCCTGGCCAGGCATTGCAGTCGAAGTCTTTCAATGGGGTCGGTGGCTGTGGTGAGCTTTTTCTTGGATTGGATCGCCATCTCTCGGTCGTGGCGTGCTGTCCCTGCCATCTGAGAGAAGAATTCACAACACATTAGTGAAGCTCAGGCCTCATTGCCTGTCTCTGGCTGGGATGGCAACAGCCACACTGAGAGGGACATTTATAGTTCACTCTGTCATCGAACCTCCCAAAAATGGTATCAAGCCACCCAAAATTTCCCATTTTTAATTATACCAACTGTGTGCCTGACATATTTGTTACTTACTTATCTAATCCTGAGGAATCCTGTTGGTTTCTCCAACATGGACAGTGGTCTTAAGTATACAACCATTTCCCAACATGGTTGATCTTTCTGAAGCCCTCTTCCCTCCATGAAAAAGGAAGTACAATTTCTCCATATATTCTCTCTTTGAACCAATATTGTATGTTATATTCTATTTATAGTTTTCCTTAATTCCTTTGACCCACATTTAATATTAATATTCTCCTTTTTAGTCTGAACATTGATATTTTGTTGTTGTTGCTTCTGTCTTTTTTTTTTTTTTTTTGAGAGAGATTTTTGCTATAGGGCACATGAGCTCACCAGAGAGACAGACAAAGAGATAGAAAGCAAGAAATCACCCCCCCAGGGTGATGACCATGCTGCAATCCCTTCTCTTCCATTCTCTTCTCAGGGTTTCAGGCACGTATGCACATGTGCTCAGCATGAGTTTCAAGTCATCAGGTCCAGGAATCAAACCGCAGTCAACTACGTGGGAGTCTAGCAATGTAACCATTACTCTATCTGCTGGTTCAGTTGTTACTGCCTTAACTCATATTCTCAACACATGGGTCATAATCATTCTTTTTTTTTTGAGAGAAAGAGAGAGGTTTTTGCTATAGGGCGCATGTGCTCACCAGACAGACAGAGAGAGACAGAGAGACAGAAAGCGAGAAATCACCCCCCAGGGGGATGGTCACGCCGCAATCCCTTCTCCTCCATTTTCCTCTCGGGATCTTGGGCACGCATGCACACACGCCCGGCGTGAGTTTAAGCCACCGGGTCCGGGACTCGAACCACAGTCGACTATGTGGGAGTCCAGCGACATAGCCATTACGCTAACTGCTGGTCCCGGGTCATAATCATTCTTGACAGTAACTACTTTGTTCTCCTTGAGTAACAGGTATGTGGCCATTTATGCCTAACAAAGTTCTCAGCACAAAAAATAAAAAGAAAGGGAACTCTCTCTCCTAACAGATATATAAGATACCTTTCTCTACAGTTCAACCTTTGTGTTTTAGGTATTCAGAAATAGGAGGAAGTTTGGGTGTAGTGAAGTTCTGCCTCCTAAGTAAGTGGTCCCAGAGGCACATGCAAACTCTTGCAGCCAGACTTGAGTTCTCAGAATTCACAAGACAGTGGAAAGGGTACTGGGCTGGGAGGCTAGAAACCCAGGTTCAAGTCCTGGCTCTTCAACCCAATAATGATGACATCTGGCAAATCCCAGGGCCTCCATTGTCTTGTCCACTGTTAAATAAATTGATGAGATTAGATGATTTTTAGGTTCCACCCCAGCTCCAAAACACTTATCATCACGAGTCTACTGACACAATAAGTGGAGGATTCTAGAAGACACTTTAATGTACGTGGTGAATGAAAAGAGTAAGAGGACTTGAAGAATGTGCAAAGAACAACTCAAGGCGCAAGGGAACAAAATGGTATTACAATGGTTCCAGCCTTGGTTCAAGAATTTCCTCCCTGGCCAAATTCTGGCACTTTCTTCAAGGAACACACTAGGACAGAATTATTTCCATCAAATGTGGCAACCCTCAGATTTGTGTCTCTCCTATGCCAAGGCTGTTCATCTACCACACAACTGGAGAGGTCTGCCCTAAACACTAGTCATTATTTAACTTCTGGGAAAGGGGATTTAAAACCAAAACCTGAGGCCAGAATGGACCGTTCAGGCATCCACACATTTAACTTGGTCTATTTCCTACAGCCTTCTCCCAGCCAGTAGACAGGCTAACTCCTTACCCTTCATCCTGATTCCTGATTAAATCACCTATCTCCCTATCCTCACCTCCCATGACTCATCCCCTCCCTGTCCACCTTACCTTTTTGCTCTGTTTTTTCCACATGATCTATGACTAGAAGTGGGGAATGAGGAAAGAAAAAATAAAAACTGAGAGAAAATGAGACCTGGCTCCTGGATGTGAGACAGATCCTCAGTGGGGTCCCCTTTATACACCTTCAGAATAACATAAAAGACATCAATTGCTAACATCCATTGTGCCCCCACTAGGTGGTAAGAACTACCTAGTCCTCACAAAAGCTCTGTAAGCTAAATTGAAGACAGGGACTCCAGCTAACACACACACACACACACACACACACACACACACACATAAAGGTTAATAGCTGCACTATTCACAATAGCCCCAAAGCTGAAAAACAAAAGTATCTTCAACTGGTGAATGAATAAATAAATTGTGATTAATCCATGCAATAGAATATCAGTCAACCGTGGATAGGAATGAAGTACTGATATGTGCTATAATGCAATTGAACCTTGACCACATTATACTAAGTGAAAACAGTCATATATAAAAATGTTACACATTATATCATTTTACTTATATAAAATACCTAGCATGGGTGAATTCATAGAGATAGAAAGCACATTAGTGATTTTTCAGGGGCTGGGAATTGGGAGCAGGAGAGTAGAGTGTGCCCACTCAATGGGTATGGGATCTCCTTTTGGGATTATCAAATGTTTCGGAGCATCAGCAGGTGTCTAAGAGTTTTGTAAGTGCAGGGGCACTCTGCTAGTTGTGAGGCCAAAGGGAATAGGACAGCACTCACAGTCAAGGGGAGAGGAATTAGAATCCCACTACTTAGGGTGGCCATCCCAGCTTGGAGTGGGGCTTTCTAAAGACTTCTCAGAAGTGATGGCTAGGTGCCAGCTTTGGCCTCATGGTTTGAGGAGCCGGATTCAAGATTCAGATTCAGCTGACCATGAGTTTGGAGTCTCAACTTCATGATTTGAAAGCATAGCTGATGCATGTGCGTGCATTCCAAAATCCCAACAGGATGGAGGAAGGGAGGGAAAGGCATTGGAGCATAACTGTGCCCATTGCAGGGGTTCCTTCTCTCTCTCTCATCAGTACACAAGCCATCTAGCAATGACAGCAACAACAAAGGTCATGTCTAAGTTTAATTCTAATGGAAGGTGGTACTTACAGAGGATGGGCTGTGGGGATAGAAGGAAGGGCACAGCAGGTGTACCAAGTGCTTATGCCAAAGTGAAAGAAAAAACAGTATCATTAGAAAAACCTAAGTATTTTATTAATGGTATGATTGGAGAATATGAGCATGGAGGGAGTAGATGTGGGAGGAAGAGAAATAAAGTGTCTTGGAGATCAGGTGGGAGTATGGAAGGGTGAAATTTGGAGAAAGATGAAACTAGGCAGGTAAACATATTGCAAAGAGCCTGAAATGACATAGTGAGATTTGGATTTTGTGCTGAGAGCTATTAGAAAAGCTTCTCTAAGAGAAAATGACAATTTGCACTTTGCAAGGATCAGGCTTGTCCAGCAGAGGTTGCGGGCCAACCATGCCACTAGACAGTGTGCACAGGAGAGATGGGGATTCCAGATAAGGAATGACTGAATGTGAGTTTATAGGAGATGGAGAGCTCAGGGCTGGCCTCCAGAGCCCTTACTGGTGGCTCCCCACCCCATCCCCAGTGGCTCATGGGAAGGGGCATTCACAGAGCAATGAAATGTGGAGGCCTAGAGATGTGGGCACAGTCTGAGTGAGCCACCAGCAGCAAAGCCAAAGGAGACTTTGTGTCATGGTCCCAGTTAAGCTGCCTCATTCCACTGTCCAGGTAGAGTACTGGCTGACTGCTACTGCCAACACCATCTGTCTGTATACATTGTGAGAAGCCCTGTGAGAAACGATAGGGAAAGCTGAGAATGCATGGAGATCTGTCTCTAGGTTCTCGCTATGGTTCAGGGACAGATTTAAACTAATCTTCAGAAGGAAACACTCCATCCCCAGCCTGCTCTTTATTAGGTTGTCTTTGGTGCCCTCTGGTGTCTGTATACTGGATTACATATCCTCTCTTCAAAGCTACGATGATAAGATTCTATAGACAACCTGCAAACTCAGAAGTGAATCTTATTGCTGAAGAGGCCACCCTAGGGATCATCGATCCAGACACTATAAAGCACTAAAACCTTCCATGCTTTGTTGCAAAATCCAAAGAAAATCACCCCATCCTTTAAGAAATGCTCCCTCCACCCTTTGGTTTCTCTGACACTGTATGTCTCCGTAATCCACTGTTCAGGAAAGAACTACAAAAACTGGCCAGTTTAGTTAGCTGGGATGAACCTCAGGGAAGACCATAGGTCAGCTGTGTTAAGGCGGAGAGTGGGGAGCTCAACTGGACAAACAGGAAGGTGCTATGGATGTCATTCGGGGGCAGAAGGGGGAAGTGCTGAGAAGGGAAAGAAGGCTCACCTGGCTGACAGGGACGGGGCACAATGGCTGGCTCAGGTTTTGCCTTGCCAGTCTTTCTCTGCCCCTCACCGCTTGGGAAGCTGAGGCACAGGGACAGCATGCACTGCAGGGGAGCTGTCTCACTGAGGAGGTCACATGAACCCCACACTGTTAGAACAGCAACTACCTGCAGAACAGTCCAGTTTTTCCAAACTCCTGTCCTGCCTCTAGATGCCATCATCTTCCACACAGCCAGAGCATGAAATGAGCTTTGCCTTAAGAACATTTTTTAGGCATCTCTGTAATACCTGCACTATTTATGACATGAGTCATTTTTTATAGTAAAGAATTTGGGGTTGCAATAATAGTTCCATGTGATTTTAAACCATTCTGCTATGTAGAAAAAAGAAATGAGAACAGCAGTCCAGAGAGCAGATAGCTACTGATTAAATTTGTGAGGTTTCTAGCTGGTTCTGAGGAGATAGAAAAGGTATTCACTTTTTCTAAGGTTCTCCTCCAAGTCAAAACTTTCCCCATGTCTCTAACTCAGGCTCGATCTTAAGCATCAAGACCAGCCCCCAATA